TGATAGATAGATAGATAGATAGATAGATAGATAGATAGATAGATAGATAGATAGATAGATAGATAGATAGATAGATAGATAGATAGATAGATAGATAGATAGATAGATAGATAGATAGATAGATAGATAGATAGATAGATAGATAGATAGATAGATAGATAGATAGATAGATAGATAGATAGATAGATAGATAGATAGATAGATAGATAGATAGATAGATAGATAGATAGATAGATAGATAGATAGATAGATAGATAGATAGATAGATAGATAGATAGATAGATAGATAGATAGATAGATAGATAGATAGATAGATAGATAGATAGATAGATAGATAGATAGATAGATAGATAGATAGATAGATAGATAGATAGATAGATAGATAGATAGATAGATAGATAGATAGATAGATAGATAGATAGATAGATAGATAGATAGATAGATAGATAGATAGATAGATAGATAGATAGATAGATAGATAGATAGATAGATAGATAGATAGATAGATAGATAGATAGATAGATAGATAGATAGATAGATAGATAGATAGATAGATAGATAGATAGATAGATAGATAGATAGATAGATAGATAGATAGATAGATAGATAGATAGATAGATAGATAGATAGATAGATAGATAGATAGATAGATAGATAGATAGATAGATAGATAGATAGATAGATAGATAGATAGATAGATAGATAGATAGATAGATAGATAGATAGATAGATAGATAGATAGATAGATAGATAGATAGATAGATAGATAGATAGATAGATAGATAGATAGATAGATAGATAGATAGATAGATAGATAGATAGATAGATAGATAGATAGATAGATAGATAGATAGATAGATAGATAGATAGATAGATAGATAGATAGATAGATAGATAGATAGATAGATAGATAGATAGATAGATAGATAGATAGATAGATAGATAGATAGATAGATAGATAGATAGATAGATAGATAGATAGATAGATAGATAGATAGATAGATAGATAGATAGATAGATAGATAGATAGATAGATAGATAGATAGATAGATAGATAGATAGATAGATAGATAGATAGATAGATAGATAGATAGATAGATAGATAGATAGATAGATAGATAGATAGATAGATAGATAGATAGATAGATAGATAGATAGATAGATAGATAGATAGATAGATAGATAGATAGATAGATAGATAGATAGATAGATAGATAGATAGATAGATAGATAGATAGATAGATAGATAGATAGATAGATAGATAGATAGATAGATAGATAGATAGATAGATAGATAGATAGATAGATAGATAGATAGATAGATAGATAGATAGATAGATAGATAGATAGATAGATAGATAGATAGATAGATAGATAGATAGATAGATAGATAGATAGATAGATAGATAGATAGATAGATAGATAGATTTAAAAATCAGAACAAAAAGGTTTTTTGGTAACAACCGTTTTATTTTATTCAAATAGTCCCCTTCAGATAAAAGAGTAACAGCCACTTTCTAATACTACCACTTGTGCACTATATAATTTAAATAATAAATATTGTACAAATTAGTATGAGAAAATGTCGAAAGTGTAAATTTAAGACCTGAATAAATTATCTCAATATACTCTCAAGGTGTTTACTTTAAACCCTTATTATCCCTCATTTTTTAAGTAGGTACTAACATTTAGGTAACTTTAAGTGGGGGTCAGTTTTTTGGGGTAATAGTACCTATAGTACGATCATATTCGATGCAAAGTAATAAATCATTGCCTGTCAAGGGAACCAATGAAGTACGCCTTTAAGGGTTTTACAAATTGAATAATTTCTTTATACATTATGAAGGGATGAGGGGATCAGTTCAGGTCTGGCACCCTTGTTGCTACAAAAATTCCTTTATTCTCATAAACTATTTATTTTAAATGTAATTTATTATAAATCCAATTTGTTTCCTAAATTCCACATATGTACTACATTTTACCTCTGTACGCGCCACTGTTGTTTACTTGTTTTTTGGAAGCGCTCTCTAATTGACGGCAAAGCTCGCCAGGTTAGTATTTAACGTATAACCGACCAGTTCGTACACTCGATGCACCTGGGCGACTACAGCTACTACCAGAACACATTGCGTATGCAGCGGTATTTCAGATTTTACATTGAATTTCATTTTAAATTTGAAATGATTTATCTTACGCCTCCTAAAAATGATGACACGATTTTCCTTTGATAAAAGGCCGACAATTTTTTGCTCTACTTTGCATCGTATACGATCCTACTATACATACGAATACGAATCTGAAATTTTAATCAAATAGATAGTCAAGTTATAATTATTTTTTTTAAATGCACTTTATAGACAATGAGCTAGCGCACATGGGTGTGGCGTCATCGAAAAATGTCTGGCATTTTGAAGTCTGAAAAAATGTAAGTTAGTTAATGAAAATAAGGGTGGTTTTTAAGGGTGGCCGACCCGTGTTCGAAAATTTGGAAAATTAATTAAACTTTTGCATAAAATAATTAGTTTTTCACTCATCTTAAAGTGTCTGGCAGTTGATGCAAAACCAGACATTAATAAGTACCTAACAATTTTCAAATGCCAGACGTTTTTAAATAGCCGAAAGGGTGGTTCATAGGGGAGAACTTGCAAGAAGAAAAAAAAATTCATTGTTTACTTTTTGTCTGGCAATAGAAACAATGAAATTTTTTGTTATGAAAATGATAAAAAATAAATTGCCAGACGGTTTCAAATGTTCGGAATGTGCGGAAAATTATGTGAAAATTTTTAACATTTTTCAGTGATCTTAATGTACAAAAAAAGAGGGATACCTATTGTGTTTGCGGTATTATAAAATGTTATTCATTTTTCAATGCCAGACAAATTGGCCGGTTCGAAAATTTATAAATAAATAAAAAGGCGTGAAAAAATTTATAAAAATTTCAATAATTTATTTTTGTCTGGCATTTTGCATTTCAATTAGAAATGCGCGTATAAACAAAACATACAAATGCCAGACAAGTTGAGCTGTTCGAAAATGTATAAATGAATTAAAAAGTTACAAAAAAATTAATGAAAACTTGGTTTTAATTTAAACGATTTATTTTTGTCTGGAATTTTGCATTACTATTGAACATACATATTTATACTTCAGGTTGAAACGCCAGACAAGTTGGGTTGTTCGAAAATTTAAAAGAAAATTAAATTAAATTAAATAGTTGTTGAAAAAATTAATGAAAACTTCAGTGTCTTTTTTTTGTCTGGCAATTCGTTTTTTACTAAAAAAAAATACATTTACAAACTCAATGATTTAAAATTTGAATTTTTTAAATTTACTGAGGTTTTTTCTATTTTCCAGCTTTTGTTGGCTAGGTAAGTCACTTAAGGTAAGTTGACAGCATCAGATTCAGTAGGAAATTTTACGTCGGAAGTAGTATCTTGAGTATGTTTCCCGAGTAATTACAGTTTACAATATAAAGAGAAAAAGTCGAAAAAAAATTAGAAATTGTATTTTTTACAACTTTATTTATTTCCTATATATTTTCGAATAGCTAAACTTGTCTGGCATTTTTAATTTGAGTTTGAGTGTATTTTTTATTAAAAAACGAATTGCGAGACAAAGAAAAAAGACACTGAAGTCTTCATTAATTTTTTTACAACTATTTAAATTAATTTATTATTTTTTTTAATTTTCGAACAACCCAACTTATCTGGCGTTTTAACCATCGTATAATGACATAAACATACACAAAAATTGCAGCCACAATTTCAACTATTTCAATTTTCTTTCAGATATCCGTTTTATTGTAGGTACCTATACTTATGTCACATCGCTGTTCGATGTTTTTATAACATTGGTAAACAATTGGATGACGATTTTCCTGCAAGTCTTCCCCCTTAGTTCTTCTCTGTTTGTGTACCATTAATTTCATAAAATTTAATACAAAGCCGATTGAGAGAGTGTAGATGTAGAATCCAGTGTCGCAATGAGATTCTAAATAAAAAAACTCCTAACCAATTTTTGCCAAATTTGACAACAAAAAAGTAATATAAGTAAGCTTTGATAACAAAATAAACTCAACATTCAAGTAACCTAATAGTGTTTTATTATTCTTCTTTTCAAAATAAAAATAACGGCACCTTGCTATATAAACTTGTATTCGAAACCATTCATTAAGATAGAGGGCGCGTTTTCAGAGAAAGTTGTTATATCTCTAAATATCTTCTGAATAATAATAAGTTATTAAAAATAAAATTTTTTAAGCATGAAAAATGAATAAAATGGCATTCGACGTAAAAAAATTAAGTCTCAACTCAAACCAGTGACATGATATGAGGAATACTGTTTATATATTCCTAAAAAATCTGGGACGTTACTAAACAAGGATTGTTTGTCATTCCTAAAATGTAAATTTTATTGTTAATAGGGCGTCGCTTAATTTTTTGCATAGATTTTTTCATTTTGGGACAAATTAGCGACATTGTAAAGATGATACTTTTAGATAAATTTAAAATTATACCCAACTACCTGTAAAAATGAAAAAGCATGTTTCTAACCCAAATTTAAGAATATTTTTTCAATAAACATTTACGCTCAACTTTACTGTATTTAAGATAAAGGGTGTCAAAATAAAAAAATCAAAGTTATCAACAGAAAATATATATTGAAGCACAAGGATCCTATTTTCAACATATTTAGTAAAATCAGCTAAATAGACTCTTTACAGTTGATAACTTGTACCAAAACATATTCCAAAAAGTAGAAAGGTCATTTTTAAGGGACAAATTTTAGTTTTAGTTCCTAAAAAGTTCCTTTTTAAGAGACTAAGTTCCGAGGATCTCTTACACATCACAATTCTACGACTTAGTAATATTATTAAATAACGTTTTATAATATTTGAAGGATTTATTTCATGCCTATAAAATGACTTCGAGAAAAATATTTTTTTTAATAAATTTGTCATTAATAATAATAATAATAATAAATTATAAAACCTGTATTACTTGCAGACGCTGAAATAGGCGTAGGTTTAACAAATTTTGTCTCTAATCCTATCGTTTTTATATCAACACTCTCGTCATTGTCATTATCACACACATATTTATTATCAACTTTGCTTAGTCCTAAAATACTGTCAATTGAAAATTTATTTTTATTACTCTTCCCTTCACTATAACTCCCCCCGCTTTGAAAATTTGTGTTACAATAGTCCGTCGTTAATATATCTACACTATCGTCATCGGTATCACCGTAATCAGTGTCTACAAATTTATTATCCTCATCGGACACTACATCTCGAATGTTTTGGTTCATAGTGTACTTTATCACTGTAAAAATATTTAGCATGTAGTGGATATGTCTTTGGTAAAACGTACTATACTGAATTCCAGAAAATACTAAGATATTACGAAGTGGTTTTTGAATGTACCGTATAACAGTCGTGTAATCCACTAGAATTCATATAACATTACTTGGCCCCGCCCCTTTTCTCCCTCCTTAGAATCCCTAAACTTGCTGCCGCAGTAGATTGGCACTTTGCGTGCCTTGTTTTGCTGTAAAATCCATCTTCACACCTTTTCGCTTCCTTTTACATGTGTTTTCTACCTCTTATAACCCCTATTACAGCGCCTATTGAAAGTAATATCATTTATCATGCTTCAAATGTATTTGATGTTCTTGTTTCTGTTTAATGTGAGAATATTAGGTCATTCATTATTAGCACGAAAGATTCCTTCCCACTAAAATCACTAAAATCTTTCAAATGTAGTATTGATTATTTAAACGGCTACTGCTAAAAAAGGTGAAGAAAATTAATTTCAACATGAACTTTTCGTCCTTATTAACTTTTTCTTATTTTAATTGGCCAGACTGGAAGATTTGAGAACATTCAATGATACTTTTGATTTAACTCTCCGACCTCTATTATCATGCTTATTTGTTACATACTTATATGAAAAAACTAAAAGTTTTGAAATTGTTCAAAATGACCACCGTTTTCTCTCAGGCATAAATTTATTCTTCGTCGAAAATTGAAGTCAACTATATCCAATAATTGCTGATTGTTTCTAATGAATTTGTATTTATCTGTAATGCGATTCCACAATTCTGCTCGAGACGCAGCTACCGAGGAATAGACAAATTCTTTTAACGTTCCCCAACGAAAGAAGTCGCATTTGTGGAGGTCTGGTGATGGTGGAGGCTAAGCTTGTGAACAATTATTTCCTCTTCCAATCCATTTATTTGGATACTGGTGGTTTAAAAAGTCTCTAACAATATTATTAAAATGAGGGGGTGCTCCATCATACATAAACCAATGTTCAAGTCTGAGTTGTAGTGACACCTCAAGTAGATCCAGGATAGTGTTTTGGAGAAATTCTAAATAAGTTTCGCCATTTAGTCGATTCGGCAAAATAACTGGATCAACTAAATACCGATCAATAACAGCGATCCAAACATTTATTAGGAGTTACTGAATGAGGGTTTACATCAGAATACTCATGATAGTTATGTAAATTTGTAATACCTCTGCGGGTGAAACAAGCTTCATCAGTAAAGAGAATTTTCTTTTGAAAATTAATGCCTTGTTGTAAAATAAACTGACAGAAGTTTAACCAAATCATTCGGTAACAATTCTTGCACTTTTTGGATATAATAAGGTGTAGTAGATTACGTCTGATCACTTGGTGCACAGAAGTTTGCGAAATACCATTTTGTCGAGATAGAATTCTAGTACTAATATCTAGATCATCTTCAATAGTATTCAAAATAAGTTCTTCCTCTTGTGCCCTAATTGCAATAGCATGTTCTCGAGTGTTACTGAAAAATCTGTTTCTCGAACCCGTCTTTCAACATTGCAAAATGTTTCTCTATTGAGGATTACGCGATTTTGAAATCTTCTTCGATATTCTTCGAAACTTTTTCTGTAGTTTCCTTCACAGACACCTAACACTAATAGCATGTCAACTTGTTTGGTAAATGAAACCGCCCCGGCCATTTTCAAAACACTCAGCAAACAATTACTAAAATTAAATGATTTTTTTTCCTGTTTGACGTTCAAATTCATAGCCAACTTTTGAATTTTCGATTTTATTATAATTTGCAGTGTTTCGAAGGTATTAAATGTCTCCGTAATAGAGGACCACAAAAAAAGGTTTGACCCTCCCAATCCTGATTTAAGGGCATTCAGACATTCTTCTAGAAGTGGTTTTCAAGATTTCAAAATGACTGAGTAGTCTGTAATTGGAAAAACATTCAAATTAACGAACTCATTGCACCCTACCCCCATAATCCCGTAGCTTCATAATTCCATAACCCCATAACCTTGTAATAGCCTATAACCTGGGATATGCGAGAGTTTAAAACCATAAAAATCCGTGCAAACGTGGATCTCATACGTTAGGAGTCCTCATAACTTTCCTAACCTCATAACCCCGTAAACCCATGACCTCGTAACCCCATAACCCGGGTTGTGCGAGAATGTACAACCATCAAACTGGTTCTCGAACATCAAAGGTCTGTAACTACATGGCTATGAGTCAACAAGCTTTCATAACCTCATATCTCAATAACTATATGACTGTTGGTTGATATGTTTCCCTAACCCCATATCCCCGTAACCCCGTAACCCCGTAACCTGAGGGATGCGAGGATATACAACCATGAAATTATGTGGGCGCATTGATCTCGAATATTAGGGATACTATATCTCTATGAGTTGTCGGGCTTCCATAACCCCATAACCCAATAACCCCACAACCCAATAACCCCACAACCCGATAACCCCATAACCCAATAACCCCATAACCCAATAACCCCATAACCCAATAACCCCATAACCCCACAACCCCATAACCCTGGTTGTGCGAGAATGTATAACTACGAAACTCTGTGGAATTGTGTTTGTAGTCCTGTTGTAGTTCAGTAATCCTTTAACATGGGACATGCAAGCTCCTGTAGACCCATGTTACGAAGTCACGCGGGTTTTCTTCTCTTTATATGTAGACTGAAAATACATATGTAATTGATGATGATTTTGTTACCAAAAATCAAATAAGTTATGGGTTAAGGGGTTATGGGGTTAGACATTTATAGATTTATGGTACAATAAGATCATGAATTCCAATGATTTTCCAATCACTGACTACTCAAGAGGGTTTGAAATCGGAAAAAAAGGGATTCTTGAGACTCCTCTTTCTAGTGGAGTGTCATGGTGTTAGGGTCAAAACGCGAACTGATGCGGGAAATTTGACTTTAGATTCGGATTCAGCTGGTCAAATTACTATAAAGCCCCTCGGCTAAGCCCAATTTTTTGTGGTGATGTGTAATTAACAAACGGATGCGGTTTGCACCATTCGTTCAAGCATGAAGAAATCTGCCTGTGCGTGTACATATTTGTGTAATAAATGGCCTTCTCTATCACAATAAGGATCAATTACCCAAACAATAAGATACCAAATGCAGATTCACGGTGTAAAATGATATTAGGCACCTCACTTCATTTGTCTTTCCCATAGGCGTTCATAAAATTATTCGCTATTACAATAGTCGCATTTACCCGGACACTAAACATCGGTATTGTTTTTTAAACTGTTGCATTTGTTTCTAAATTCAACAATGCATCAAAACTTAATTTTAGTTGTAAATTACAAATCAATGAAAATTGCCAAATCGGCCTTGGAAGCATTATAAAAAATATATAAAAAATAACCTTGTTAATAAATAACAATTGGAAGACAGAAAATTTTCGTTTGATGGTATTAAGACAAAATACTTGACTTGAAAAAAATAAATAAAAAAACCGTTACCCCAGCGGCTCGTTTGAGAATATTCTGATGTAAACAAGTTGAACACAACTGTCGTCTGAAAATGATAATGTATTTTTTCCATCATAAATTATCATGTATTGCCAGTTTTATCCATATTAATCTCGAACAAAGTTGCAAACAGAAGCATTTTTTAACATGAATTTTAAGGATATAGGGTTAACCGGAACAAATGTTTCCTTTACAGCAACAGTTTTTAAAGCGTAGCTACATATCTCTCAAGTAACTTTCCATTTTTTTTCCATATCTTCTTCATGGGCTGTTTCGCAATTGTAATTAAATTAGGTATGTTTATCTCTATTATTATTATTGTAGATTTTTGTGTTAACTATGTATGTCAAAACAGTCTACTACATCTCTATACCAACCATGGGCAATATTTTCATGCTTACCGGTGTGGACTTCCACCTGTCAAATTTAATATCGTTAAATTTATAATTATATGTTACCACAAACAAAATTGAGTAAATTTTCGTTCGAAATCAACACAATTTTGTGTTAAAATGAATCCGCATCCAATTGTGTTGAAACAGCATTATTTGTTGAGTAATGTTCACACAAAATGTTTTTTTTGCAAAACCGATTCCAAGAAGCTTTCCTTTCATCGGCAAATATATTTTTCTGAGAAGGTAAAAGTCACACGGTGCCAAATCAGCCGAATACAAGGAGTGGTTATGGTTAACAATTAAACTACGATTTTTAGTCAAAAGTCTAAAATAATTTCACTCACAAATAACATTGTTATTACATATACACACAAAAATATAAAATGTTTCTATTATCACATCATTTTAATAAAAGGCAACATATTAATAGTCCCTTTGTACAGGATATCCCAGAAAGATTACGACACCGCCATAGACACTTGGGGCCAAAGACAATTTCGTTATTTTCAAAAAATTATTGTAACACTCAACTTAAATGTTATTTCTGTGAAGCAAAGTGCAATTTATTTCTGGTGCCCTAATATTAATTTGTTTCGTGTATTTATAGTAAATTTACATTTATTTTGATTCCAAGTACTTCATAAGATTGTACTGAGATATATCTTCCATATTACAATGCTAAATTTATATCATTTTATTAAATAATTAGTACCTATTTGCAACTTTTTACAAAAAAGGTTCTTATAAACAACATTTTCTTGAATGTTTCGTTATTAAGAACATTTAGGTATTTCTATTGCTACGGATAAGATGAAAATACAACCATAACAAAATATTTACATTTCCTTGCAGATTTAAAAATTTTTTAGGTACGACACTGAGTCCGTCGTTTAAAGAGAATCCTGTTAACCAGTTCACATTTAATAACTCATAGCACAAAAGCCTCTTAATGTGGCTATCTCGCTGTTATGAAAAACTCGTTAAGTTGAGTAGTGTGGGAGAAACATAATAGGTACATGTGCACCATTTCAATGATTTTCACCACCAGGAAACTCTAGCACGAAAATCTCGGAATTCTACAATTGTGTATAGTTTTATAATACAA